ACCACTGCTTCGGACGCCAGCCACAAATCTGGGTTGTAACCTATGCCCCTGATCAACAGTTATAAATTGGGGGTTCCAACGACCCCCTCCATGGGTTTGATTAATTTGCTCAAGAGGCTCACAGAACTCAGAGAAACGTTTTACTAACTAGATGGCCGTTTTAGTATAAAAGGAAGAGATGCACCGGGCAAGGGACGGGAAGGGTCACAGAGCTCTGGTATCCGCTCTCAGTGCACCACTCTCCCTGAATCTCCACGTGTTCACCCACCCAGAAGCTCTCCAAACCTTGTCCTTCTGGGAATTCATTGAGGCTTTATTACATAAGCACAATTGATTAAATCACTGACCACTGGTGATTGAACTCAATCTCCAGCCTCTCTCCCCTCCCCAGAAATCAGGTTCCCCTGGTAACCAGTCCCCAACCCTAGGCAGTTTCCAAAAGTCACCTCATTAACGTAACAGAAGACACCTTTATAGCTCTCGTCACTTAGAAAATCACACAGGTTTTAGGATCTCTGTGCCAGGAACAGGGAAAAAGACCAAATACATATTTGTTATTATAAATCCCAGTATCACAGTTTTAAAAGTTCACTTTAACCCTAAAAGCATCCACGGAACCTCCAACGGCTGGGAGCCTTTGGCCGTAGCGGAGAAGAGCGAAGCAACGCTTATGCTGTCCTGCTGGGGGTCGTTCTTGTCCCTGACTGTTCGGTGTTCATCCCTCGTTTCTGAACAGCCTCTAGAGCAACACGAAAAATGCCAACCAGAATGAAGTGCTTGGGTGTCTGGAAATTAGCATTTCCAATCATCTCCAACTCCTCCTAATGAGTCTCAAGCTGTCTTTATGGCAGGTTTAAGCACCAAGTGTCACTGCGCTATCTGTCAAGTCAGGGGGGCTGGCTGTGGTGCTCGTCCTAAGAGAGGGAAAGGCTGGGGCCCTAGAATGGAGCCCAGCAGCCCTTCCGTCAGGGTCCGCACTGCCACCAACAGCCGTGAGACCTGGGCCCCCAGTGTGACTCGAGTCCCTCAGTTTTAAATAGATAACCCACATCTTCTTACAGACCTTGGATTCCGTGGCACAGAACAGAGGAGCCCTGGGCATATACGTGATATAACAGCCACAAAAATGAGAAAAAAAACAAATGGGTAGCGGCGTATTAACAGTGAGCTTGCTAGGAACAGCCCACGGAAGCCGCCTACTCTCCCAGCTCTTCCTGGGTGTGAATGAACCCATTTCAAAATTGCTCTGCACACCTGTCAAGAGCAGACCTGTCCTCCGAGGCAGAGGCTTAACTGTGTGGCCCAAGCGTTGATTCTCGGAAAGCGATTCCTCTCCCGCCTCTGAAAGACCATGGAGCTTGTGGCTCTTTCTAGATATCACCTTGCTCCAGGCCCGGACCTTCAGTCCGGGAAGCACCACCGGGACTTTTTAAGGGAGAAAGAGCTGGCAGAATCTGTGTGCACCTTGGAGGAAACCCCATCTCCTGTCACTTCCAGCTTCCGGCGGATTAACTCCTTGAATTCCTCACTCCCAAGAACTACAAGGTTCTGCCCACTGTACAAGGCAAGTTCTTTTAAGGAAAGGGAGACAAAGGTAACTTTATAAAGCACAATTTCCATCAGACAGAGGGAGAAAGAAAGACACTATAATTTCACACACTGGAGATGGAGGGGTCACTCTCATTAGCTCCCTGGTCGTACCAGAAGCATAAGCTGAAATGTTAGTGAGATCGATCTCAATCAGTCCTTGCCCTGGGAGAGAGAAGCCTGGCCATGTATTATGCATGAGACCTCCAAATGTATCTTCTGTAGAATGAGCTGATTGTACTGCAGAGGGATGACAAAGGGGTTTCAACTCTTGCACCTGCTCTGGACAGTTGTGGGGGCTGCTTGGTGAAGAGCAGGGGCCCAGTGGGAGGGGGCCTTGCGCAGTGATGACTGCCACGGAGGTGAACGGCGAGGTACATCCAGTGGTGCTCCTTGGGCGAGATTGCCTCACACGTCTCCTCCAGCCCAGGTGGCTTTTCTGATTCTATCTGCTTCTGCTGATGAAAAAGTGTGAGCTGACTTCATGCACATCCAGATGTTTCTGCTGCCCGAGTCCCCTGTTCCCTCCATGAGCACAGAATCCCTGGTTTCAGTAACAGGCAGGCCACCGAATTCTCCTTCCTGAGAGTCTGCTCTGATGGGAGCCCCAGCTCAAAGCCATACACGATTTGTTTGCAAATGACTCAAGAATCTCCATGTTCCTTCACCCCAGGCAGCCTCGCTCTCGGGGTCTTGGCTCTGGAAAAATTGTGGAAACCTGGGGGAGGTTTTCAATACCCTCCTTGTACCATTTTCAATCAACTGAGAACAGATGCCAGGAACCGATCCTGGTTCCAAGCTAAGCTTTTACCCACTGAGCAGAGCCTGATAAGGGCTGGATACAAACCGTCTTGTAAATTTTGCCGAGCCCAGGATGGATCGCCCTGCTCCTCTCCCTTCTGCTGTAGGCAGCACGGCCTTCCCAGCCCCACTTAGGTGCAGGTGAAGACCCTGGATGCCAGGGAGCAGAGGCTGCCATCTCCCGGGGCAGGACTTCGCTGTCTGCTCGCTGGTGAAACGCAACACAGGCTCCCCTTCAAGGAATAGGAACTGGGAGGGAGAAGCTGGTCTCCCTGTTTGACACACCCCAGAGTAAAATGAACCACTCAGGGCAGTATGTCCAGCTCGGAGGGAAGGGGCAAGACTGAAGACTGCACACCAGAGCATCTCAGAGCCAGGAGCTGTGGGAGGCAGGGCAAGCACACAGGAGACAAAGCAAAGAGCTTCCCTGCAGGATTCAACGGGGTGCCCTGCGCTCCTACCATCAGGAGCTGCTTGCTCCAGTCTGAGAGGTGAGGCTGGGAAGCCTGTGGCCTGCATGGATGACACAGGCCATTCCAGGTTTAGTCCCTGCCCTGCTGAGTCCCAGCACAGAGAGCCGTGTCCCCCTCCCCTCCCCTGCCGTGAAGCCCGCTAGCAGGAGCCTCCGCCCTCTCCTCCCAATGGCGGGAAGAGGACGCAGGCCAGGTACCAGAGGGCCAAGACTGCGCCCTGTGCAGGCAGCGTTCTAGGTGGTGATGTCGGGGGGTTAGAGAAGTGGGGGCCCCAGGCAGACAGGTGGAGGAGAGGGAGGATGGTCCGGAATATGGCTGTGTGCCCACCTCCAGCATCAAGGGGCTTTGCTTCTTCTTAATGAGCACCAGCAAGAAAAACAAACAAACAAAAACACTGGCTAAAACCCAACAGCCACGACTGCGCAGTAGCAGACGGACTTAACCGGACACGACTTAGCCCCATTTCTCCGCACGGGTTTTTCTGTGCACACCATGGGCAAGGACGTGCACGAAGGGCCAGATGATTGAGCACTTCAGGGACAAGGGCCGTCAATCAGTCGAGAGACCGCCTGTGAGTGAGGGTAGAGAGAAAGGGGCGACCCGAACCCCCGCTTCTCCCCCCTCGGGTCACTGCCTCCCGTTCTTGGGGTGCACTTTTCCTTTCTTTTTAAATAAATCTTTTAAAATCTTTCCCTACTCAATGCACCATCTTCCGACTGTAAACTTCTCCTTTGGGTGTGACAAGAATTGGGGTCTTTACCTTTAGGGCTAACAGTTCTCTTGTGGCAACACCCTCATTATGCACAATTCTGAAGACAATGAAAATCACAGCTATGCAGGTAAGGTTTTCAAAATTCAGAAATAAGGCAAAAAAGATGATCTCATTACCCTTACTATTAGGCTCAACGAGTTTCTGATGAGCTTGTCTGAAGGTCTCCTGACTCTGAGGGAACGTGCTGGTTGGATTAACAGCTTGACACGGCCGGGTTCCTGGAGAACTGAAGAGGTTTGATGACTGACCCACTAGACAAGACCACCCTGCAGGGTGGAATTTAATTGCCCTGCAGGAATATGAACCAGTTTCGTGCCTAGAACACCCACCACGTTTCCAGCATCCCTCTGCTCACTGACTGCATGTCTCGTGTCCACATAGCTCTTCAAACCAGGTCTGTTACCCGCCGGTTTCCTCACCTGTGGGTTCAGCACAACTCTCCCGTGAGATTGCTATCTACTCGTATCAGAATTATGATTTTAACCACTTAAGAATCATCCTTAATGAAAGATTTGTTATCATTTCTGAAAATGCTAAAAATGTGATATTCATTTACAAATCTATCCATAGAACTAAAGGCAATCTCTCTTTTGTTGGAATATATTTATGTATTTATGTGCCCAATTCTTTAATGCATCCGTCCATCGTCTGCCCATTCATAACTACCTGTTAAAGAGTCCATCCTGGCTTCTGCTCTTTACTAACCCCATGACTTTCAGCAGGATATACATGCTAAAAGGCTTGTTTTCTCATCTGTGAAATGGGAATATCCAGGAGCTGGAGAGAAACATAAAAGTGAATGTGTATATAAAGACTTTGGAACAGCACCTGGCTCCTATCCTTACTCAATAAGCATTTGTATTAATATCTGTAAGTCCAAAGATAAATATGTAGTAAAAATGGGAAGGAAATTTGACAAAATTGAAACAAGGGTTATCTTGGGACGAGTGGTGTCAGCTCTTGACAAAGGCATGGAAATCACCGTTCAGTCCTTATAACAAAACGCTGGACGAATGGAAAAGGAATGATTGACCTCGGACACATCAGAGGACTGAGGTTGTAAGCAGGAGGCCACCCTGAATCTGGAAAAACAGGAGACTCGGGAGGGCCACAGAGATCAGCTTATCTGGGGCAGAAGCTGCTGGAGCCGTCAACTGAGAGGACACTTGAGTGGGGGTTTCGATGAGTTGCTGGAGGCTGAGCATGAATACATGAGAGGGCGAAACTCCTGGAGGCTGCAGTCAGGGGGCTCTCACGCTTTTGTGGGTTTTAGCTGTAGGAGCCCTCCAGGTTCTCACGGTGAAGATCTGAGCACGATCTCTCGGCTCTGGTAATCATTGTGAAATCTGCTCAGACGTTTCTTAACAAAGCCGTCCTCCCTAGGGGAAAATACTCTGCCAGAGCTTCTGAAACATTATCCTGACTCCGGGAAATGTGTTCCTCCCACTCAAGTCCCCATTAGCTTTCTTGCCTCCCATCCAAGGGGGAAGGAAAACAGACAACAGGGAGGGGTCAGGGCTTCACGGGAAGAGACTGAGAATGTTCCAGCTGGGGAAGGGAGTAGGAGGTAGGGGAAAACCCACAGCCCTGGAGTGATATGTGCAAGGGTCCGCTAAGGCACAGGCCCACTGGGAGACTGAGATTTAATCCTCAAACTATAGAATGCACCTCCTCCTCACTCTAACAGGCCCCCGGGATGATAACAGTGGAGGACAATATATGCAGGACTGGGACATTGTGCTGTACACCAGAAATTGATACACTGTAACTGATTGTACTTCAATTTAAAAACAAAAATAACAGTGGATAACAGAGGACAGAGCTGAAGACACACTCTCCGAGGAGGAATGCTTACAGACGCCCAGGGTCAAGAGAGGAGACAGAGAAAGAGAAAGAAACAGAGTAGCAAATAGAAAATAGTTACAGACATGACAGATGTTAATCCATCTGTATCAAGAATCACTTTTTGTTACAGCAAAGTGTGTTACAGCTCAGTGTGACCGCAACCGGAATGCTGGAGAGAGACCAAGCAACACTCGGAGGGTTGGAGGACTCAGGTTTACTATGCCAGCAGGCCCAGAGGAGTTAACACTCCAAGCTCTGGACCCTGTCTGTAGGTTTACACGGGCTTTTATAGTCTGCCAGTCTACACTTTGCAACATCATATGCAAATAAGTTGTAACAAAGTGGACCAAACAAGAATGAACTTTATGCAAATGAGGTGTTAGAAATGAACCAATCGGGAGTGATAGAAATGGACCAGTCAGGAGTGAGCTTCAGGAGCCAATAGAATCTTAGGGGTAAGTTCCGCTTTCCTAGAAGCAAACCATTTTACAGAAGCAAAAAGTGAGATAGGGATCCGGATGGCGCTGGTAGGAAAGTAGTGGCCCTGCCTGGGGGTCCTGCCGGTCTTTTCATGGGGCTTCCCACCTCATTTTAACTGTGAATAATCTAAACAAATCAGTTAAAAGATGGATTGTCAGAATGGATTGAAAAGAAAACATACTCAACTACATACTGTCTACAAGAAAACCACTTTAAATATGAAAACTCAGGCTAAAAGTAAAGGGTGGAGAAAGACAGACCACGCTAACACTAATCAGAAGTAAACTGGACTAGCTCTGTTCACTTCAGATCAATTTCCGGACGTCAGAGCCAGGAAATTATCAGGGATCAAGTAGGGCATTTCAACCTGAAAAGGGGTAAATTTTCCAAGAAGACAGAAGCCTCAGAGCATGTGCACCTGACAGCAGAGCATCAGCGTACATGAGGACCTCCTCTGGTTGCCGTGTTATGAGTCATTTTATTTTATTTTCCAGATACTCTCCAGCAAGCATGTGTTAGTTTAAAAAAAGCAGATCTGACACCTTCCCCACGTGGCCTGCCACCACTTCCTGTGATGGCAAGTGGCGGAAGGCTGGAAGACTGTGGTGACAGCAGCCCAGGAGGTCGAATGTCCACTCAAAGATATTTTAAGAGCTGGTCTTTGCACTTGCAAGTTCACCTTGTCTGGGAGAAGAGCGGGAGCCCAGCCTGAACAGATGGGCTCGCAGAGGGTGCTCCCTGCCTCAGAAACCTCGGAGTACTGTCGCCTAAAACCCAGTTCTCCATAGCAGGTTTCCCTGTTCACTCCAAGGGCCTCACAGACACGTTCAGGGAAAGCATTTGAGCACAGTTGCCACGGAAGCCCAGTCACAGAGCGAGGAGTAGAGGCCAGGAAACGTGTCTGCTGCACACACTTGACCTTCAGAAGGACTCAAGCACCAGCACAAGGCCAGCAGCTGGCCTGCAGTTGCCGGAGGGGCTGCGTGGCCAGTGGCTGGGCGCTCCGGCTCCTCGTCGCCTGCTCCTGGGCGTCAGATGGTGCTAATTAAACAGCAAAAGCTGGTTCTGGGGGAGTTTCTAATTCCTGAGAAGTCTTAAATTTTGAGCTATGATGCCAAGTCCCAGCTCTGGTGAAAAATAGCAAACTCTTGTCCTCAAAAAAAGGTATCCAAAGTCCTGTCTTGTTGAATGAAAATTAAATTTGGAGACATAGACCTCACATGCTAAAATTTCGGTTAAGAGGAAGAGAAATAAACGTTTGAGGTTCAGATGTTTCCAGCCAACTGTAAGTCAATCAAAAGATATTTTGCTTTAGTTCTTTTTGATTTAAAAAAAAATCATTCCTGCTTTTTTTTCCCAACTTTGTTCACATCCAACCTTTTTTTATTGTTGAGGAATTAAGTCCTTGCAGTGAGTTGTGGCTGCCACACTCCATGTACTTTTTCATCACACACTTCCATCACTGAGGATGAGAGTTAAATGAATATGTGCTAATCCCAGGATTTATCATAAATTTTTAGAATCCCTCATATCAATGTATTCAGCTATAATCCCACTTTATCCTGACAGTAGACTGCAAATATTCCAAATCAGTAATGGCATCACTCTGCTTTTACTGATACAGCCTTTTCATCAAAACATGCCCAACAGTCTAAGGCCTGGAGCTGAGAACACACATTCCCCCTCTGTCCACGCCGAAGCTGCTACAGCAGCTCTGTGCCCAGAGGCCAGGCGAGGGTGGAGGGCTTGCTTTCCAGCCCTGGTCCTCAAAGAGTTTAAAACCATTCTTTCATTTAGCAGACACCCACCAGGCAGCCTCTGGGTGCCAGGCAATGTTTTAGGCACCAACGAGTCAGTGACTGTGACTCTGTAGGTCTCTGCTCTGTGGAGTTTCCACTCTAGCTGAGAAGATAGCTAATGACCAATTAGACAAATGAATGAAAGACATTGGTGACATGATGAGCACTGCAGTGGAAATTATGCAGGGTCAGGACAGAGAGACGTGTGATGGGACAGGTGGTGGCATTCAGGTAAGATGCTCAGAGGAGATGCTTATGGAGGAGGGAGGGAAGCACTGAGTTGAGGTTGACAAGAAGCCCATTGTGCAAGGACTGGGAGAAAGAAGAGGAAACTGAGCCCAGGAGCTGTGTGCACAGCAGGCTCAGCTGTGTGAGGACAGGCCCCACCGTGAACAAGAGAACTGTGGGGAGGAGTCTGCACGTCGCTTGCTTATCTGTGTTCCTCAACAAACAAACCACCAAGAGGTTAGACAGTTTTGAACTTGAAACACGCATGGGGATGTGAGAATTGCCAGGAGAAGGCCAACTGATGGTCAACACAAAGACCTCGTGGGATGGCCTTACTTTGGCAACTGTGTGGCGATGGGCTGGTCTTTGCCTGTAGAGCTTGCTCCCCGATCTTGGGCGCAGCCCAGGAGTGTGTGCACAACCAGGGTGGGGAGAGGAAGTGGCTTCAAAACCCAAGGGGGATGGGAGAGGGGGGTGAATTCAGAAGTTTCCCCCCACCCACTTCTATCCAAAAGAGAGTAGAGAGGGAGAGCGGGTGGTTCTTCCAGGACCTGGTCCTCCCATAGTTCCTCCAGGGAAGGGCAGCAGAATCCGGGGGGACCTTGCGTGGGGTCTGAGGGTAAGGCGCCGGCGTCTTGTCCTGGCTGTCATCAAAGCACCTCAGTGCCGCCAGAGGAGAGCCACAAGAGGGAGGGGGTTCTGGGCATTTGGCCCCGACATTTGGTGGCTACGTGAGTAGAGACAATGGAGGCAGCTTCTCGTCTGAGGTCCTTCCCATGATTAGGGAGTGAATGGCCTGCAGCCAATGGCCCTGTCAAGAGGAGGTTGAAGGTCTTGGTGCCTCTGTGTTTCAGGGGGGTTCCTATTGGTGTCTCCCAAGGAAGCCCAGAGCCTTCAAAGGGGCAGAAGTCATAGGGCTGTGCGGGAAGATATTCAGCCATGCCATGGAGCCCCCCTTGGAGAAGGGCCAGATCCTGGCTGCCATGGTGGGCCTCTGAGGAGAGGGGCAAAAAGGGGTGCTTCTCCATGGAACCAGCACAGGACTGATGCCAAACCCACCCTAGATCAACCCACACACCCCTTAGGTCAAGAGCACAACCTTGAGGGTTCACCAGCCTTTCCCTGCCAGGGTCCCGGGCAAGAGTCATGTGAGCACAGTTAGGGCTTGGCTGCTGGGAAGCCTGGGGGTCCAGGGCAGAGGGCATGGAGAGTCAGTGAGAGAAGAGCTTGGGCCTGCAAACTGGGACCACCAGGACCGATTGGGAACGAAAAGTGAGCTGCAGGTATGGAATGCTCCAGCTGGTGGGTTTCGCAAGAAAATGGCAGTCATGACGACAGGGAAAGGGGCCATCGCGTCATGTTTCTACCGCAGCAGTGAGTTATGCTTCTCAGATTTTTGTTTGTTTGTTTTCTTTTGAGGGGGAAGGCAATTAGGTTTGTTTGTTTGTTTGTTTGTTTGTTTTGAATGGAGGTGCTGGGGATGGAACCCAGGACCTCACGCATGCTAAGTATGTGCTCCACCCCTGAGCTACACTCTCCCCAGCTCAGGCTGCTTTCTCTAAGTGGCCCCAGATCCAGCTGCCTTCCCACCGGCAGGTTGCTCCTGAGGCGGGCCAACATCCCAGCTCTCAGCACGTCTTTGCAGGTCTCTGATGGCAACCTCTATGCGTGGATTTTTTCATTTTAACCTCGGGGCTCAGGAAGTTGTCTATTTTTATAGCATGGACAGATAGTTTGATGATTTCACGATTTTTTTTTTAAAAAGTGGGCCACCTCAAGCCCCGCCTGTAGGGCTCTTTGGGGGCTGCTGGCCGGGCCGCTGCCCGGGCTCAGGGGAGCCGCGTGCTCTTTGCAGAGCTCGGTCCTGGGAAGGAGCAGGCCTGGGTCAATTCTGTTGGCAAAGCTTCTCTTTTGCAAAGTTTTAGTTCAATTTGTTTATTGTGCTTAATCTGTTCTTTGAGCGTCTGGGATTAGCATTTTATCTTGCCTTATATCGAGCTCTTTGAAGCAGTTTTTGGTTTCTCAATCAGTTCATGACTATTAAATTTTATCTTTATCTCACTGTTTTTATATTTGGCTACAGACCTCCCACCTTTGATGTAAATGTGTTTGGCCCTCTGCCTGTGGGTCCAGGCTTCAGCCCTCTCTTCCCTCTAGAGCTGGGCTCATTGTCACGTGCTTTCCCACTGGACCCCCATTCCTTTAACTACCCATCTCCCATTTAGTCCATCCTGTTGTTGTTTAATTACGACATGGAGATTCTGTTCTTGATCTGAGGAATTCTAGTCATGGAGGTCTGGTGGCAGGGTGACAGAGGCAGGAGACTGCCATCCGGCTCTGAACACCACCACGCCCGTTTCATCAAGTAGCCAAGCGAAAAATACATAGAACAGATCCTTGCCACATTCATCCAGGAGCTCAGAAATGGGTCCCGTGATAGTGACTGGGCCACATTTATTTCTGTGAGAGCCAGAAAGAGCAGAAGCTAAGGAATTTGCTCGTAGAGTGCTGGTCTTTTGAAAATGTATAACACAGAATCCAGGAGGGAAAATGCAGGTGCAGCACGGGTTGTCACAAAGAAGACACCGATAAACAGACTCTCCTTTTCAGTCTATTCATTCTAAGACTTAGGTTATTATCTGAACAGAAGGGGGCAGACATAGGAGGAGGAAGGAGAAGCTGTTTTCAAAAATGGGCAATAGTTCACTTGTAAAATCATGAGTGTGAGTCAGCTTCCCCAGGTCAGACTTTGAATGGGACAGTCAGTCTGCTTTCCTGCTGTCAAAGGCACTGCCAGGTCCATGGAACCACCAGGGATCCTTCATCTAAGCCAGGATTTGCCTCTCTGATCAAGCTCC